CTCAGGACCGGAACCGGAACCGTCTGCTTCTGGCCCGGGGGCGTCGGCCTCTGGTCCGGGGGAGTCGGCTTCTGGTCCGGGGGAGTTGGCTTCTGGTCCGTCGACTTCTGGACCGTCGACTTTTGGACCGCCGACTTTTGGACTGTCGGCCTCTGGACCGGAACCGTCTGCTTCTGGTCCGGGGGTGTCGGCTTCTGGTCCGGGGGAGTCGGCTTCTTGTCCTTCGACTTTTGGATCCTCGACCTCTGGACCGCCGACTTTTGGACCGGATCCGGTACCGTCTGCTTCCGGGCCAGTCCCTTCTGCTTCTGGGCCCGATCCGTCAGCTTATGGGCCGGTACCGTCTGCTTCAGGGCCCGATCCATCAGCTTCTGGGCCGGTTCCAATAGCCTCTGGGCCGGAGGCAGAGCTGCTGGGGGAGGAGCTGCCTGGACACGCTGGACTGGATGCGGTGCGACCTCCGGGACCACCACTGGAACTGGAGGCGGTGATTCCACCGGGGCCACTGCTGGAACAGGCTGTGTGCAAACTGGTGGTGCTGGAAACGAAGAGAGCAGGGAGGACAGACCGTCCAGCTGACGCTACTGGAGGCTGAGGGTCCGGTGGAGCTGGACCAGTTCAGCCCGGAGACCGGCGAGCTCCGCTGGGTGGACCCCGGGCTCGCTCTTCTGGCGCTGAGATGAAGGAGCTCCCGGCTGGACGGAGGCCCTCTCCTGGCGGTCCGAGGATGAAAGAGTGTCCAGGTGAGACTCCTGATGGCTGACGAGCTGGCGGATCCGGCCAAGCTCCGCCTGAAGCTCTCTCAGCTGGGCTGCGGGTGCTGGGCTGCGGTTGCCGATGGGACCGGTGACGGGACTGCTGGCCTGGCCGGGGGCGGGTCCCAGGCGCTGGGTCGGGCAGGGGCAGCGGCGAATCCGGAGCTCCGCCCCGGGACACAGGGCTGCGGTGGAGCTTGGCGTTCTTCTCCACGCCGCGGACCAACTCCAGGGGAACAGACCGCCAGCCTCGTGCCCATGAAACTCGAGCGATCTGGCAGCAGCTCCTGGTCCAAACATGCCTCCAGTTCCGGGAGGACAGGGAAGAACGCCGCGGCCAAAGGTCGGCTATGGCGTCTTCGGCGAGGCGAAGCAGGAGGGGGGGAGGCCGGCCGGTGATCAGACAAGAGGAACCGGAGCAGGCACTCCCAAGGCAGAATCTCCCGGCTGGATCCATCAACGGTTGTGGTCGGATCATTCTGTCATACGCGCCGGTGGACGAAGCGGAGACATGGTGAGGATCCAACGCGGGTGAGACAAACAGGCAGGCACATAGGAATGATGACCATAGATTTATTAAGCACGCTGACACTGGAACAATGATCCGACATGAAACACAGAACAGAAGGGGTTTAAATACACGAGGAGCGGGAGCTAGGGTGATTGGGAAACAAGAGGCAGGTGGGAGCAATTAACGGAGACAGACTAAAGCATAAGGGGAGACAGGACAGGGTGTGACATATTCACTTCCGCCGACTCCGACACCGGCCAAAATGTGACACCCGGCCATTAATTGAATACAGGCCAATATTAGAGGATATATATGTACCGTAAATCCTCTAATACAGGCCCGGGCCTTTATTTGACTCAAGCTCATCAAGCTCCAGGCCTTTATTGGAAGGAGGACCAGTATTAGAGGCAGGCCTCTATTTCTAATTGAGCAACATGAACTAATGGTTCGCTGGAGTTTTTGACAATTAAAATTGCGCCCACATTTTCAAAGTTAAACACATTTCTTTTAACAACTAGTTTCTGCTTCAGTCCTCTCCCCCCTCCCCCTGCGCAGCAGCCGCAAACTCACTGATGCGCCTGCAGCCTCTCGGAGTTCCTGCTGCTCTAAACATTAAAATAATTATTTCATTTTCTGTTCCTCACTTCTGATTACCTTCAATGGTGTCTGTTTGTTGCAACCACCAGGTACAAAAACTAACTTGTTTTTATTTGACTATTTTTCTGTCCTGTCTGTTTATTATCTTCCTGCATCTCCTCTCAATCCTAAAGAGAAACTGCTACCTGGGTTCATATATATTCACCTCATGAGTTACCTTTGAACTGCAGTTCTAAAAGATCTACCGACCGCAAAAACAGCGGAGCGCTCGCTGTTTGGCGGCCGTATAAGTGATCAGTGCGTCGGAGGACAAGGTGATGCGCGCAGCGCCCCGCTCCACAGCAGCGAAACGCATCAGGCGCAAATAAAAGACAGAAAACATTAAAGGAAATGAACTGACATGAACGATCGCGTGTTAAATTAGTTTTTGAGGTGGCGACACCTGATTGTTACTGTGGCTGTGCTCAGGAGGCAGATCTACCGACCGCGAAAACAGCGGAGCGCTCCCTGCTTGCCGGGCGCATCAGTGATCTGTGCGTCTGAGGACATGTTGATGTGCCCCGCTCCACAGCAGCGATACACATCAGGCGCAAATAAAAGACAGAAAACATTAAAGGAAATGAACTGACATGAACGATCGCGTGTCAGTACACGGTCTGGCACAGCGCGTTGCCCCCCCCCCCCCCCGAGCGCAGGAGCTTGTCACCTGCTGACAGCAGGCTGCTGTCTTTTCTGAGGGCTGCATCTTGCCGGTCATTATCACGTGACAGCGACTAGTCGATGACAGGCATAACAAGTCACTACAGTAATCCCTCGTTTATCGCGGTAGATGCGTTCCAGACCTGGCCGCGATAGGTGAAAATCCGCGAAGTAGGGACTCCCAGCATGCCCCTCGCGGGGATTCCCTCCACGTTGCCCCTACGTCACAAACCGCGGCTATAAACGGAAGTCGCCTTTCCAGCTCACCACTCAGTCATCGTTTCTTCAGATTCATGATCAGAGTTTCCAACCTACCGATCAATCCAACGAACTATCATAGTAAGTTATCTTACTTACTTCTGGAAAGCCCGGCATTTCCGTGTCACTTCGTTGACGCTCGAACGCTCGGGGGTTTCCTAGATCAGCCGGCGTTTCACCGACGCTATCACTTCCGCGTCTGTGAAACCACACTCCCTATTGAATTATCGTATGATCACATTCTCTTTTTGTGGGTAAAACTCAAGAAAAAATTTTTTTTACTTGTTTTTTTTTTAGTTTTATTACAAAAAGTGCATTTTATGATGAAATTGATGAAAAAAACAAGAATTTCTTGATATTTCGCATAGAAAAATACCGCGAATCAGTGAAAAATACCGCGAATCTGCGAATTCCCCCCTGAAAAATGCTCCAAAGAAAAAATCCGCGAAGCAGCGAATCCGCGATGAACGAACCGCGAAGTAGCGAGGGATTACTGTATAGTGAAGTTGACTAGTTCATACACCCCCTACTGCTGCTCTCCAGAGTGTTCTGCAGCATAATCAGCACGTTCTCTTTGAACTTGATAGTGTAATGACCTGGCTGGGGTTGTAAGCCAGGTGCATTCTGGGTATTGTGTTATATGTGTTTCCCATCGTTCTGCTAGTTCCTATGTGCTGATTTGCGTGTTGTGTGAGTGTTATGTAAGCCACAGGGAAGGTGATGTGTGTTCTGTGGAGCGGGTTGAATTAGCATGGTTAACTGACACCGTGACTCTGTGTGGTAGGAGCGTGATAGAGGATCGTGTCTGTAGCGTTACAAAGCGTTGAAGAAAAAGCCCAATAAAGGTCCGCGTGAACCTCTACTGCCTCCTGCTGGTTGATTTGGGGACTATAACCCTGCCGCTGGGACGCTCATACTTGCTTGTCACCACATTCCACCCGGCCACAATAAGAGACCGGCCATTATTTACCTCCACTGACTCCGACACCGGCCAAAATTGGAGACCCGGCCTTTAATTGAATACCGGCCTGTATTAGAGGATTTACGGTATGTGTGTGTGTGTGTGTGTGTGTGTGTGTATATATATGTATATATATATATATATATATATATATATATATATATATATATATATATATATATATGTGTGTGTGTGTGTGTGTGTATATATATATAGTAACTCTTTAGTTTAGAGAACACAAATTAATCATTATTTAGCTGCCAATTAATATGCATATTAGTGGACTACTAAGTCTGAACTGATCTAAGCACTTATTACTAATACTGTAATTCATAATTACTAAATACATTAGATTTTATACATTTTTTAAATATATAATTCTAACATTTGCAGGTCATAAATTAAGAGTTTTATCAAAATAAGCCATTCATAATGGTTTGTTAACTGAAAGTAAACAGTTTGTTGCTGATTAATGGACATACTAATTAATTCAAATCAATATGTGGCTTTTAAGGAAGTAAGTCAAGGGGAACATATTCTTGCCTTAAGTGGTTGATTGATTGTTGTTTAGGCTCTATTAACATGTGGAGTTTGGTGTTTATTTACATGATACCAGAACACAATATTTTTGGTTATTAATGCAGAATAACTATTCCCCTTGATTTACTTCTTTCAAAAGCCACATATTGATTTGAACTAATCAGTATGTGCCGTAATCATCAACAAACCATTTAGTTTCAGTTAACAAACCATTATAAATGGCTTATTTTGATAAAACTCTTAATTTATGGCCTGTTAATATTAGAATTACAGCGTTGGTAATAAACACCTAATAATAGCTTAATAATGACTAGGTCAGACTTAGTAGTCCACTAATATGCATATTAATTGACAGCTAATTAATGGTTAATTTCTGTTCCCTAAAGTGTTACTATATATATATATATATATATATATATATATATATATATATATATATATATATATATATATATATTAATAAAACGAGATATACGTTTTAGCAGCACATTGATTGCGAGGACAACTGAACATTCACTGTGTGCGATATAAATTAATAAGTCAATGAATCTCTTAATATTTATTGGACTTCAAATATAAAAAAATGAATATATTGGCATCTAATTTTTGTTCTGAATAATGGACTGCAGGACCCACATTTAACCACTAACTACTGCGATCTCTTATCTCTCACCAACAGGTGTGGAAAGGCACCTGGCCAGTGCAGTGATTGTTAAGTGAGGAGAAAAAGAACTGCCCTATTACCATGGGGAAACAGAACAGCAAACTGCGGCCAGAGATGCTGCAGGACCTCCGAGAAAATACGGAGTTCTCTGACCATGAGCTGCAGGAGTGGTACAAGGTAAGCTCTACACACTCCAAACAGAGATATAGTCACATACACAATAATTCTTCATACTCTACCCATGGTCATTATGTACTATAAGTTTCTTCTCTTCTGTACTTACTTCCTTAATTAACTGGGTGCAGGACAACCAGCTAGTAGCTATTTTCTGTAAGCTCCCCCAAGAATACAATACCCCCCCCTCCCCCCAAAAAGTGGCAGGAGGGGTGCACGTATTCTCCGTCGGGGTGGGGTTGATAATGTTGTCAGCGTATCCCAGAGCAGGTGTGGGAGTGTGCTGTATCTGGCATCTGTTTTGCATTTCCATCAGGGAATCTCCAAGTGGGGGGAGGGGGAATGGGGTGGTGGTGTCTCGCACTCCCCTGCCCCCTTCTCGTGCCCTCCCCCCGGTGGGTGCATGCCTCACTGATTGAGAACCACTGTGCTAGATAGAGCGTACACACAGAGCCGCTATTTGGGCCTTGGGGAATATGGTATCAGTTCTTCCTCTAGTGTTTTTTGGACTCTACCAACAATTTTGACAGTTTTGCTAGTGTGATATTTGAGGCTATTTTGCAGAAGAAGCCAGAGAGGCTTTTTCATAAAACAACCCCTGCATGGCCATAAAGACAACCTCTTCCTTAAGTTGCCATCAGTCATTCTCAAATGTATCACTTGGGCAAAAGCCACTTTCCACAATGATGCAAGCATTGCAGTTATGAACGACACCATTATCATTGGTTGTAGAAACCCCGGTTTATACACACTTGTCACTGTGAGAACCCCTTTGACCAGTTCACAGATAACCAGTTTGCATCAGCCTTCCAAGATCCAGACTTTTTTGGCTTTTGTGAAAAGATGTTATCGAAATTTTTCACCAAACCGATGAAACACACAATGAAAAATAGAAATTTCTGCCTTTTGTAATATTTATTACCGAAGCATAAAATACTCACTGGTCTCATTCTCTGAAGATCACAGAATGAGCCAAGAATAAAAGCATACACCTGTATAGTCCAGATGCCATACATATATATATATATATATATATATATATATATATATATATATATATATATATATATATATATATATATACATATGCATATGCATATGTATGTATGTATGTATATATACATACATACGTATATATATATATATATATATATATGTATGTATATGTATGTATATATGTAGGTATGTATAAATATAGTAGATGGAACATTCTAGGTTCACACAAAAGAGAATCTGTTTTCTTTATTTCAGGGTTTTTTGAAGGATTGCCCCAGTGGAACCTTGAATGTAGAGGAGTTCAAGAAGATCTACGCCAATTTCTTTCCTTACGGTGATGCCTCCAAGTTCGCTGAGCATGTCTTCCGAACATTTGACACAAATGGCGATGGGACGATAGATTTTCGGGAGTTCATCATAGCCTTGAGTGTCACATCACGGGGAAAGCTGGAGCAGAAGCTGAAATGGGCATTCAGCATGTATGACTTAGATGGTAATGGCTACATCAGCCGTGAGGAGATGCTGGAGATCGTACAGGTGAGTGATATTTCATGTTCTGACTTCCTGTTTGGAAGAATTTTTCTTATTGTATAAAAGTCCAAACCATAAGAAGTAAAATTTCCTATTTTTGTTTATCTGATTATCTTTTTTTTTTTTGTTCCTCTAAATTGTCAGTGCTCGGGTGGTTGAATGACTGGTTTAGTGTAAAACATCAAACAGGCCATTCACCACTTACTTCCTAAAGGTGAACCTTAGTCTATTCAGTTGTGCAGTTTCTTGTTTTTTTACTGACAGGCTGAAATATTATCGGTTATGTTTAGCCCGACTCATTTATTCAAACTGTAGGTCAGCTCAAAAAGACGTTTTGTCCACACTGATTATATAAAAAGGTGTAAACATGAAGCTGCGGGTAACAATTTAGTCTCACAGTTTGGGTTGTGAGATTAAAATAAAACCAACTGACTTTATTCTAAAAGGGGTAATCATTCAGAGATTTCCCAGATTTTTCATAACTGACAGCAGTCAAGCTGGTTGCAAGTTAGCCAAACTATCATTTACACACCGTAGTCAAGGCTGGAATAAGTATCATTTTGATCTAGTTGAGTGTGTGTGCATGTGTGTGCGCTCACACTGATGGATTAGCAAGTTAAATTTAACCAGAGTTGATCCCTGTGTGTGCAGAATACTAGGATTATCCTCAAGCTCATGGAGGTTACGCCATAGAGAGCACCATTGTGTAATTGAGTGCTGAGAGAGAGGTTTTCTTAGCTGCGGGTACATTTCTTTTCTTCTTATTATCCTCATTATTAAACCAACACACCACACCCTCAACTAACTCCCCATGTGATCAATATAATCAATTCAATTTACTTTTATTTATAAAGCGCCAAATCACGACAAGAGTCGTCTCAAGGCACTTCACACAATAAACATTTCAATTCAGGTCAGTTCATCAAGCCAGTCAGTAAAAAGTTTCCTATATAAGGAACCCAGCAGGTTGCATCGAGTCACTGACTCGTGTCAGAGTCTTTACAGCAATCCTCATACTAAGCAAGCATGCAGCGACAGTGGAGAGGAAAACTCCCTTTTAACAGGAAGAAACCTCCAGAGAATCCTGGCTCAGTATAAGCAGCCATCCTCCACGACTCACTGGGGATGGAGAAGACAGAGCACACACACACACACACACACACACACACACACACACACACACACACACACAGCAGGCTGTACCCACCGAGTTTCTGCATTTCTTCTGCACCGCAGGGACATTTTCGGATGCAGACAGCGCACGGAACTGAACAGGTGTTATGTTGATATGTGTTCCTACCCCTTACCCTAACTGCAACCCTAAAAAACAAACATAAAAATCGTGTTACACAGAGTCACTTTATAACGACAGTTATCCTCGTTTGAATGCGGTGCAACGACCAGCTGCGCCTTCGCGCTGTGAACCTGTTTCCGGCTTCACAGACAACCACTTAAGCAATGTGATTTATGAAGCCAACAGCGCAGACAAAGCCATCCCAGATCTGCGACGTCTGGGCTGCAAGGTAGCGGAGTCCCGGGAACGCGCCAATGCTACAGCTCTACCGGATCAGCTGGATGGAACATCACCATGACAACGTACCATGGCAATGTTTCCTGCTTCAGAGACGACCACGC